CTAGATCCCTGCGGGGGAAATTTCTCAGTCGGCTCGAAATGGTTCGATAATCGAGCCAGGCCTCGATTCAACCAGCGTCACTCTTTTAGCTCGAGAAGAATCGGGAATGGCGTAGGGGCCACTTGTTAAATGTGGACGGAGTTTGTATACTCGTGATTTATGGCGGCACAGTGGGAAGAAAGCGCGGTTAATTTGGAGCCTCTGTTATTGATGGCCTCCATTTGTGAATTGCCTTCAATTAATTCGGCGGTGGTTCATTAGTCCTTTATATCGGGCTGAGACTTTAAACTTCAGCTGGTGATTCTTCTCGGAATAGAGGACTGGAATCCCCCGTTAGATTATTTCATCGCGAATGGACGATAATTGTATCAGACGTAAAAAATACGCGATCGAAGCTTTATATTCAGGAGGAATTTCCTCGGTGAGTCAGACCAAAAAAATTCCCTGGATTCGACGGTGGGGAAGGTCGTTTCTTTGTCAGGTAGCTGCCAGTTACCACACAGTGACCCTTTTGTGCGAGGGAAGGGCACGGGAGTGAGCCATTGGCATTATAACGACTGCCTCCAAGGAGCTGGCCAGATTGAAGAGGGCTTCCGTCGCGCTTCGTATAACGCGAAAACCGTTCGAAAGTTAATTCGAAATTTATTCATGGACTCCGCGGGACTACTAGCTGCCGCCTCTTCTATATACGTCCGGGCATTATGTAGGTACATGTGGCTGGAACGCTGACGCTCCTCATCGTAGGCCTATGGGCCATCAAATGAGGGTAAAGTAGATCTAAAACAGAACAAACCTGCCGCCTATGAATACGTAATTTTATTACGATTAAAAATCAAGTCTTGTCTATCGGTCGTGTTCACTTTGATGTTCTTTTTAACATTTTTCCCTGATGCTGTCTGAATGTTGGAGAAAAATATCTCCTTGAATCGTGGGAAAATTCCGCTTCGATCGGTCGTCTCTTTGAGAAGGAGGAATTTCGAGTTCTGAAGAATAAATAGTCGATGATATCCTTTTTTTTTCAATTTTTTCTCCGGTTTCGAGAAAAATATCGCCTCGAATCGACGGCTGTAGGAAAATTTCGCTTCGATCGGTCGTCTTTCGAGGAGGAAAGATTTCGAGTTAGATATTCGCATCGCCCGCTACACCCGGTTTCGGAAAGTTCGCGGCGGTCTCGAAGTATATGTACTAGGTTCTCTCGAACGGCGCGAAACAAGGAGGCACGGATTTTATCGGGGAGATTTAGGTATTTCGAGTAGTAGGCATTCAGATTTATACGCGGAACTCGCCGTTATTGCGGCCGTATATCTCGTGTGTATCCAAAAAGGGTCACGCCACACGGTCGAGGAGCGTTTCTTTCATGAAAACGACAATCCCAAAAGTACACCGTATCGTACGGAAAAAGATATCGCTTGCTCGTAAAACCGACGATATTACGTGGCCGCGCGATAGAGAGAGAGAAAGAGAGAGAAAGTAGGACCGTTCGACGAAAGAGACGCGTATACACTTTGCAGAAAATCGAGCGGAGGAAGGAGGAGGGAAGTAGAAGCCGCGTAAAATCAACCTATGCCAATACACACCGACCGATAGATTTACAGCGTAGTAATAATAAAACACACGGAATACGAGCGTTTGCATGGGGGCTTTATTAAAATGTCGCGGTTTATGGAAGCTCGACTGGTCGATCGATAACTCGCGCGCCACTCGCCAAATCGTTAGCTGTTTCCCTTCGTTTCACCGTTTCTCTTTTGCCTCGTCGAACTCGGGGCGGACTCGTCGATCTGCTTCGTTCCGTTTCGATGGAGATCAGTCACGATGAATAAAAATACCCCGTCAAGCTGACGTAACGACGTAACGCGAGAGAGGCTCTGGAATCGAGAGGATCGTTGTCGATTATGAGTGCAATTGCGTAACGTTCGTTCGTACTTTGCGAACGTGCCGGCGCGCGGAGGTGTAACTCGTTCAAATTGAAAAGTATATTTAGTACGTAATTGAGCACGTATACTTCTTTCACGTTTTGTCGTCTATTATCGCGTACGTGTGTGTTCGTTCTTCGAGTTTCCGCAGGATTCGACACAACGATCATTTTCTTGGCGAAATTGTTGCGTGGCTGTTGGTGCTCGATCGCTTCCGGTATTTATCGACGTCAAGGAAACGCCACAGGTAGTTGACAAGGCTTTTCACTCGTCAAGTGTCAATAGTGGCGCTCGCGATAAGATGCACAGCGCCGAAGAAAAAAAGCACGGAGAAAGAGAAAAAGAAAACAGAGAGAGAGAGAGAGAGAGTAGAAAGAAGAGAGGACGCGTAAAGGGTTCGCGACTCTTCAGCGAAACGAGCCGGTGCGGCGCGACGTCGCTATTTCTAGACGAAGATTCGGTTTCCGGCCGCGTCATCAATTTGTACAATTACTGTTTTCTTTGAAAGCAGCTCCACTGTGTGGTCTCTTGCGTTCGAAAAAAACCTTTCAACCCCCTTTCCTCGCTGAAAGCACACTTTGACTCGACGTTCAACATCGATGTCTCGTCGTATTCGCGTCACCCTCATCTATTCTGTGTTCCGTGTCTTTTGCGATTGTCTCAGCTCCATTATCATAATTGGCCGACGAATCGACATCGAGAGATTGCATGATCTACGTATGTACGCGCGTGAAGCGATCGAAATGTAAATGGGAAACGTAGGGAAGGCTGTCTTCTCGAACCGATAGATTCGTCTGGCGAGATCACAAAGAACCGGGGAATCGTGTTAAGCTCGCGAGAACGCGTCGACTTAATTCGGAGTATTCACGGCCGCGCACGAAACCCGGCTATGTACGTTCATTATGTGGCTGCGCGGTATCGGGCTCGTGAATCGACTAGCTGTCTAAGTGAATAGATGCTGATTAGGAGTTCTCACGCATCTCCGAATAGGAGGTGGAAAGCCTCTCGTTATTCGTTATTTGACTCCGCCAGTTGGTTGATCCTATCGGCCTCGGCATGGTTACACTAGTCGCCAGCTATGTGATTCGACGTTCGATTCGCGAGTACTTCCTTGGAATTTTTATTTCGATTTCGGCTCGTTCTTCGCTGATTTATTTTCGCTGGTATTTTGTTACTGTGATTTCCCCGTTACACAAATTGCGTATATCATACTCGGCGCGTCCAACCTGCTCCCAAGGCCCGCACATTTTTAGAGCAACAGGGAAACTTTGCACAACGCATATATCCACTTCTTTAATTCACATTGATAAAATATTCTTAAATATTACTATATATATTTTTATAGTAATATTTAAGAATCTATTTATTATGTATTTTAGATTTTAACTATTATTTATTTTATATTTATATTAACACATTGAGTACGGTATGCTTTGGTAAACATATAGCCTGTATTTTCCCATATTTATTGAATTATTTAATATATGATTGAAAGGGTTCGAGAGAATGTATAGCATTTAACAAGTGTATTATTTTATTAATAATTAAAATTATTAATTATTTTTCATTTTAGAGCTATTTTATTAAATAAAATAAAAATACCTCTAGTAACGTTTCTTGGTATGGTATGTTAGGAAACAATTTCTCTACTTCTTGAAAAATTATATAACATTATAATAATTATATATTGTATATAATATTATATAATATAAATTGTATATAACGTTGCCTGGGTCGTGGGAATTCGTATCTCCCGTCCACAATGTCTTAACAATTATTTTCGTCGCATTGAGAATTGGTAATCTAACCAAGATTGAAGTTCATCGCTCATCACGTAAACCTTGACGCGCATGGCCGATTTCGCGAGCTTGCCTTTCGTGTCGCGGAGGCTATTATTCCCGCGTTTGTTCTTCCTTTCCGAACGCAGGACGTTCTCTTTGCGAACGGGCAGACTAGTGCCGCAGACGTTTCTCTGGCGGTAATTGCAGAACGGAACGTTGCACGGCCCATCCCTCCATCCGGTTTTTCATTTGGCCCCTTTTAGTGTCGACCTTAAAATAAACTTTGTAGTCCTACGTCGTCGTTCTCGTCGTAGTCGCCGTCGTAGTCGTCGTCGTCGTAGTCGTCTCCTCCTCCGTCTGCTTGCTCTCGTTCGTAATCCTCCCTTCCCTTTCGAGTTCTGTGTGCGCGTCTCGTCACGCCAAGTCAGCCGAAGAAGCGCGGCCGAAAGGAAATGAAAGAGGGAGGCTAGCGAGAGAGAGAGAGAGTGAGAGAGAGAGAGAAAGAGAAGAGAGCAGAGCGCTTCGAGAGACACCCCAAAGAGTTACAGCTTTCAATTTAGTACTGCAAACACTCGCAGCGAGTTAATATCTGCCTTCCATTTCCTGGTCTAACCTCGTCAGGTTGGCCCGTGAAAACAAGTTCGTGAAACTTGTCCGGTTGTTCGCGGTAAGTCGAGAGAAAGAAATTGTTGTTGGTCCCTTCTAGACGTTCGGAAAAGCCGTCATTTTCTGAAGGAGGCCGATCGAATCGAAGAGGTTCTAGCTGAACCTCTTGCCGCGTGACGAAGACGATTACGCGTTCTCGGTCTATGTTGCGCGCAAATTGGATACAGGCGGACTAGAAGTTGGAAGCGACAGGCTGCGAAGCCGACCGATTAGAATCCCGTCGAGTTATCCGCTTTCCGATTACTGAACCGCGAACTTTGATTCCAACTCCTCGACGTGTCGAGATAATCGCGTTCGTCTCGTGGCGTAGGACTAGTGCACGATGTGCAGAGAAGACGAATACGGATACGCAGATTGTTCTTCCAGTAAGTAGGTCTTTACGGAAAGGAATTTGATGTTGTCGGATCGTTTCGAGAAAACTTGGTGTATCGACCGACTAAAACGTACGTAACGTGCGGTTAAATAAATATTCTTGCTGGCAGCTGACGAGGCGGAGATCGCGACGACGCGCTAAATAACGTAGCGTATTATACGGTAGCGGCATAGCGACGTAGCAGGTTAAGAAGACAACCGGAAGGAGGAGTTTCGCGATCCCACGGTTGGCAGTGTCAGTGTCAGTTGATATATTCAAATGTTGCAGGTCGCAGTGTAGCCGCGAGGATGTGAGCAAGGATGCGCGCAGGAGTGCGTGAGATCGTCGTGATCGCCGGAGGATGGCCGCGACGCTCGTTCCGACGCGCGTTTCAACGTGATCCCTCGAGGCAAGCAGGGAACGCGAGGGACCGGCCACGCCGTCGAGCCGATGCATTGAAGCCTCGTCAGCGGTGTCTGTAATAGCGAGGAGGAGGAGGAGGTGGAGGAGGAGGAGCAGGAGGAGGAGGAGGAAGATACGGAAACCAGCCAAGAGACAGGCAGCGCGGAGGAGAAACAGGATGGAGGAAGTGCGAGGTTCTCCGGCGCGACGCCTTTCGCAAATCCTCGACCCGATCGCGCGGCTCGCTACCGATTTTGGCTCGAACTCGGCCCCCTGCAGTCCTAGACTCGGTGTACGCGGTCACGAGGCGAGCAGTGGCATCGTCCAAACCGGGCCAGCAACCGAAGTCGCGGCGCGTAGACAGCAAGCAGCTGGCCCGGAGTCGAGCCGCAGTGGCAGCGGTTTGCCAACCGGAGCGGAGAGTCCTCGACTATGGCCGAGGCAGTTTCGTCAGGCGCCAGCTCCACCCCCGCGACCCAGACACGCGAACAACGCGAACAACAATCATGCAGCGGCGATCGCCGCCTCCGGAAGTCTCCCGGCTCCGGTCCATGCCAGGGACTCACCATACGTCAACGTGCCGAACTTGCTCTTCCAAAAAGATAAGGGATTCGCAGAGGCCGCGAGAAGCGCCGGCTACGTCGAGCTCCGAGACACCAAGCCAAAGTGTAGCCCCTACGACTTTACGTCGGAGTCGAGCGGCCACGTGGAATACACGGACAAACGAACGTTCGCCGCACAGACCGACTTCGACGGTACCTCCGGCTGCTTCGACGGCAGTGATCTAGCTGCATTTGCCAGGGCTAGGTCGAACTTTGATCCTGGACCGGCGCCACCACGTGGTGGGCATTTCGATCGGGCGTACTCATTTTCCGGAAGGCAGCCAGAGCAGACCAGCGGTAGGATTTTCGCGGAGAATCGACTGTACGTGGAGCAGAGGAACGCTGTGGCAGCGGCGGCTGCGGCGGCTGTTAGCTCGGACACGAAGAAGGAGAAGCTCGAGAGCAGACCCGCTTATGGCGCGTCCAAGAGCTTCGATGGATACTCGAGCGCGGTGGAGGAGCTTAATTGGCAGGAGAGGTGCCTCGAGTTGCAACTCGAACTGCACAGAAGCAGAAGCCAGGCCACCAGGGTGCGAGACATGCTTCGCGAGAAGGTGAGTCTGTTTACTTTGCTCTTTTCCTTTTCGCTCGTCCCTCGTTTCTCCGTTCTCTCTCCATCGGCCTCGTCCGAGTTTCGTCTAGAAACTTCAGCTCTGGCGGTCGACCAGCGTGAAACTCGAGGTAACTTCGTTGGAAGTTTACTCGGTTACGATTGACTCTATGTAACGTGTCGGGTATTTAACGTGTCCGTTATTGTTCCAACGCGGAGAGAAAAAAAGATAGTCCGCGCGCGGCGAGTTGGTGAAAAGCGCAGTCAGTGTGAGATGGCTCGACTCCGAACGCGTCTCGACCCATATTTTCCAGCGTGTCCGCGGGGACCAATCGCGGCAAACGGCCCGTGACTAAACCAATAAGCGATCCCGTTCCGTGCTGGCGGCGTCACGGCCTCTGCCCGATAACTATTCTCCGTTTTCCGCGTTACTGCACGTTCCACTATCGAACGGGGGCTGCATTTCCACGGAACGATCCGCTCGTCTGGAATCATACTCACTTTCCGATAGACTCGTCTCGTACGCGCATGCCACCTTTGAACTTTATGGCCGACGAATTATATTCGTTATATTCGTCGATGGAAAGGAGCAGAAGCTATTAAATTAATTCAGAGTATGTGAGTTTCCAATGAATGAGAAGAGAACTCTCGTAGATTTCTTGAAAAATTCGATCTTGCTCCATCGAATAGTCGAATGGTTCGTAGAGTTGCTCGATTACATCGGCAGGTGTGAACGGGGCTTTAAATCTTTTGCCAGATGCGCGAAAACGTAACGTCGAACCAGTCCTCGTTACGATCCTCGGAACGATTTATAACCGTTCACCGGTGGGTTTTATCCGACTCTCGACGTACGTCAAATGAATTGCGAGAGGGTGAACCAGTCGACGGAAGGGGAGAAGCACCGGTTAGGTACATACGTCTTTAGTATGCACGGTCACGCGTCACGATTTAACGCGACCACCCTAGATAAGGCACATAGCCGCCGCCTATGGAGAGTCAGCGAATGGTCTCTTTGCTCCTTGAAAACCCCTCGTGCCTCTTAAACGGAATTGAATCACTTACCGGATGAGGAGACTCCGCAGCCACCGCTTAAATCGTTGTTTTCCGCCTGTCGTACCTTGTCGAAAAATCATGCCAACTGAAAATATCATCGCCGCCGATATTTCTTCATTTACTTCTCTTTGCCCTTGATCTTTACCGATCGTTCCTGAAATATACGAAGCGATAGAACTGCGGAAATAGCTTGAAATCTACGGATAAGACCTTGGAAATTTAACTCTTGAGGAAAGTAGCGGAAAAAGTATATACATTTATATTCATACCTCGCAATCGATATCGTCTACTGATTGTACGATTGCGATTGTTCTGTAGAATACATACTGTTTTCCTTGTAGCTTGAACGTCTATGTCGCGTATTGTCCTCTTCTATCGATTTGTCGCTTCTAGACTCTAATTAATTACCTATGATTTTTATTTTAATTCTATTATAAAACGTCTTTTATAATTCTATCAGATGTACGCTGAATTCTACGCTGAGTCGCGTTAGTTATTAAATTTCTCACTGGAAACGTAGTTGCAAACGCAACTCGGAGTAGTCGTAAAGTCAGCTGATGGAACGGCGAACGAGCCTCGACCATGGCTCCTTATCGCTTTCGTATCGCGGGGCTCCGAGCTGAAGCCCGTTACGAGTTGCTTGCATCACTGTTGTTGGATCGTTGTCCTGATTGACGTAACGTTTGTTTACAGCGCGGTTAGCTCGCGGCGCGATTCGAGATTACGCCCGCGCGAAACTCCCGAGTTTGTTTAATTTCACCGTGAGCTTTCACGTTCTTTTCCTTTTTCCTCCCACGTTTCTCTCACTAATTCAGTTAAATACAATTAAATCGTGAAATTTAACATCACTCAACGCTAGAACTACCGACGACTGAAGCATAAAATTTCCACCAGGGAGTTTTATATCTAAATATCCAACAAAAATATTCAAATGGTAGTTCCACTGTTAATATTCTTCGTTCCTATCATCATTAATTAGTTCTAACATGAAACTGTTGAAAAATGAACGGTCATTTCACGCTGATTGAACGTCAGAGAGTAAACATGCGAACAGAAGCTTCGAACGAATCGATGTGCTTCGCACGACTGTACGGAAATACGGAAAGAAAGAAAGTAAACCTGAAGAGATACGATTATCCTCGACGAAGCACAGCTCCCCGTAGGGTAGTAAGTAGTTTTGTTTCGCGGCTTACCAGACGAGTAATCCCTTCGGGTAGTCCAATCGATAAATAGCCCTGCTTAATTGGATCCCCGCCGTCCTAACAAGCAGAAGTTACAGCGAAGCTTGTAATTCGCGTCTCGGTCGCCAAGAGCCTCCTCCATGATCCCGCGAATTCGCCGGTGTGTTGTTCGCGTTCGGATCGATGGAGGAGGTGGGTTGCTTCCTAGAAATTGCTCACGTGCTCCCGCGCGAGAGTTGACCTTTCCTCGCGTGACAAGGGCCTACGTTCTGCCTACGTTCATGGTCGCGCCGCGGAAATAGTTCAACCATAATACCGTCGTAAGGGTAGAAAAGTTGGCGGAGGCGGGAGAAGGTGGAAGATAGCGGGGCCGCGAGCCGCCGACCATCCGCGTATCGCGCTCTTTAAAGCCTCTTCAAAGGGCACTAACGAATTACGAGGCCTCGTAAAAAAATTAACGGCACTCGGTGCGTTTCCGGTGCGATACGATTTCCCAGCGAGTCGAAAGCTCCATCCATATGGAGGAGGTGGCAACCATAAAAACCAGAAAAATATGTACACGCGTCGGGCGAGAAGGCGAGATAGGCAAGGCCGCGCGGAAACTCGCGTGACAACCTCGAGCCTCGAACACGTCGTCGTCGAACGTCGATTTCCCGCGAGTGGAATTTCTCTACGGATTTTCCGCCTCTTTCTACTACCCTCTGCCAACGTTTTCACCGGAGCGGCGTCGAACGGTCGCCCGGCTGAGCGTTAATGCAGACAAACTGCGGCCGAGAAAGGGTGAGAACGCGTGTGTTGTGTCGGATGTTGGAGCGAGGGAGGAATGTGAAACGTTGACGAGAAATTCGGCGAGCCGCGCTCAGTCGGAAATTATACGGCCGCCTCCATGGACGCGCCATATTTCGACGTTTTTGCGAGCCTGTCTCTCTCGCGTTCCATCCTTCTTCCGGCCACGGTTTCATTCCCAATCCCCCGAAAACATCCAGTTAAACGGGGAATCGGTAAATATCTCGCCGCGCATCCGACGCGCTCGTATGTACATGCTGATGAACAACAACGGGGCTTTCGTCACCTCTTTCACCCCCTCTGTTTTCTCATTTTTACCGCGCGTTTTCATCCTCCATTTTGATTCGTAGCAAAAACGAACGGACGTTATGCCGTTGATAAATATCGATTCGAAGCAGTCGACCGCGAAGAAGGCAAGGTGTAGGCAACTTTATGAAAAAGGCAAAGACGTCTGAAATGTCGCGGTGCAAGGTATATTACTTTTGATGAATAAATTACGAAGACAATTTTCCGTGGTGACTCTTCTCAGGCGCGAGTCCAAAATGGCTAGCAGTCGTCTGCGAAGTATTAAGGCCGACAGGCATTATGCTCCGTGGAAAATACGACACCGTTGAAGCGCGCGATGAAGCCTGATGTAATCTTTGGAGGAATGTTCTCCAGGTGAAGTTCCACGTGACGGCCATTTCTTTTCTTCTGCGCGCGTATTTTCGTTCTGCGGAGGTTCGGGGCCAAAAGGTGGTTCATCGAGAACCATCAAGCCTACCCTTGATCTTCGTCAGAATTTCTAATTTATCCGCGGTCCGTCGTTACGCGATATTTCGTCTCGCATTCGCGATCCTTCGAAAGAAGGCGGCACGCTATCATTCAGCCAGCCGGCAATTTTTCCCGAGCCTTTGTCTAACATTTGGTCGTACTCTCCTCGTTATTATCTCGTTCCACATCGTGACACTGCCTCTTCGTTTTGTCATCTTTGTTTCCACGAGAGGCGTTCCCATTTCCGCGGCTGCTTCGTACGAAAGCGTGCGGTGTCGGTCGCAGATTCACAAACACGACGCCTAACATTCGAACGACGGAACTGTGTCACATTCATGTACGTGTGCGTTCCACGCCCTCTCCCGCAGAAGCCCTCGAGTTAATAATTCAGACCAGTTGTTCGTATCGATTCAATTAATCTTGCCTGGCGCAACTATCGGGATTTAGTCAGTTGCACGGTGTAATACATTGCGCCAAACGCCAAACGAGGCGTCTATCACTGGAACAAATACGGCAACGGTTTAACTCTTGCGTTTGCCTTGCGTTCTGCCCCGTCTAACTATCAGGCTGAAAGACAAACTTTCTTTCGCGTATTTCCTGAGAAATTCTTGCACGCTGCTTTATTACCGCCTTACCGCGTCTTATCGATTTCCCATTGTCGTTTAACGTTGCCTATTGTTGAAAGGATTGATTCGCACGGAAACAAAGAGAGACAGAGAGAGAGACGGTGTGAGACGACGAGCCAGTTGGCTTGTCTGGCTGGCGACAGCTCGTTATCCGAACGACGATGACAACCCGAACCAGGACGCGCCTAAGCAAATATCGCGCGTCGCGATGGTACACGTGTGCGCGTACAGGTAGCCGGGGATATATTGTTCAGGCGTCCTATTAATATTGCATTCCATCGGAATGGCGTGCACAGTGGCGCGTCCCACATATATAAAGGTCCGTATCAATATTGATTCGCCGGCGACGGCGTGAATGGAGGCTCCCGTGCAAACAGACGAGCCTTCCGCCGCGCGGATTTCAAAAGGCTGTCTTCTCGATGGCTCGAGCCATTGAAGGGGAGGGGGTACCTCCTTTTCGAGCGTTTTCAGACCTATTTACGGATGAAACGGATGTTAACTTGGTGCCTTGGCGCTCTCCTCTCTGTCACCGGGAGCGGAAAGGATATTGAAGGCTGAGCGACGACTCCGGAGCATTTCTGATTGAGCGTTTCGCGCGCTTTCAACGAATATATTGAAAATTGAAGACTCCTTCGCGAGTACGTGCCTTTATCTCTTTCTCTTTTTTCTCTTTTCTTTTCGCTTTTGTCGCCTTTTGCGCTTTCATTGCAACCGCGCATCGCTTTTTTTCTCTCTCGTCGTAGCTTCAATCGACATAATATATCAGAGTGTCACAGATTCGTAATATGTAGTTGTTTAGAGAACAACCGACCGATGAATCGTCAGTCTCGATTG